AGTCTAGGGGCGAGGCAGAGCGGCCGTGAGCTTTGGGTAGGAGAGCAACTTCTGCATCAGCCCAGTCCTGATCCACCGTGGGGTCGTCCTGTGCCCATGTCGCATTGAAGTGATCAGCCACCCGGGCTGCAATGATCCCACTGCAGGCCTTGAAGACCACTGCCGGTGCAGTGGTTCGTGGTACCGTTTTTCGAGGGTTCAGCTTGGCCAATTGCCAGGCGAGGTCCATCGGATCTAGATATAGTTCACCCCTCTCCGGCACCGACACTTGAGGACATTCAACCCCAGCCTGTGCTCCGAAGCGGTCCCCGTATGCGGTCACTATCCATTGTAGTTCCTCATCAAAGCTGAGGATCTTGCCGTCTCTATGCAGCTGAAGTTGTTTGCGGGGAGCTCGTGGCACCAAGCGCCGGACTGCTTGCCATACTTTGTAGGCATTGCCTTCATCCGCAGCCTGCTGGGCGCTCTGAACAATGTCTAGACGCTTCTGCTTCGATCTCTGCTTGGACCTGGCTTTGTGAAGAGCATGAGCCTGTTGAAACTCCGTCCATTGCCTCCAGGCAGTCACAATGCCGGCCATGCTAAAACGATGTGCACGCATTGCCCGGAACTTCTGCCACATATCTTTGGCCTGATTGGCCAAGTCCAGCGGCTGTGTGTTGCCTCGATCAACTTGTCGACGTAGTGGATAGTGGTGAAGAGCAGCCTTCAACAGAAGCTTGTTCAGATCACTGGGCACCCCTGTGAGTTCTGCAGCGACCTCTTGGCGCAAGGCGTTCAGAGCAGGTGGAGGTGGATCCTGTTTCAAATCATGGATAATGGCCTCTTTGTCTATTTGTCTGGGTTCAACAGTTGGAGCACGATCCTTGACCCATGGTGGTGGTGGCAATGTGACCCAAGCCTGTACGGGATGGTGCTTAGGTCCTTCACGCCATGCAGCAACTGGGAAATCCGGGAGCACTGCCGCCTGTCGCGAGGATGCCGTGGCTTGTCGTGACCTGACCACAATGAAGTCGATTTGTGCCGAGCGATCGCTAAAGGCCGTGAAGGTAGCCACTTGGCCGTGAGGTGGCCTCTGCCATGTGTTCAGCGCCGTGAGCTTTAACGAGCGGGCAATGTTTTGTTGATCCTGAAGATCACGATAGTGATCTTCGCTCGGTGAGATGACGTGTGTGCCACAAACGTTGCCGAACGGAATGAACGGACAGTTAAAGTCGCCGGCCAGAATCAAGGGGTTCCTTCGAGGCAATCCTGCCAAGCACTTCTGCAATTTGACAAACAATTTTTGCCGGCGCTCATACACAGCATCTTCTTGGACAACAGCGTATTGATAATAATTCAGCAAGTCAACGTGAACCCCGCCACATGGAACCCTGACATGGGGAAGTCGACCCCCGTGGAGTACTTGAAATTGCAGGTCCGAGGCCTTGGTAAGCCTTTTGCTCACAATGGTGAGAACTCCGCCCACCCGGTCCACTGGTCCTGTGCCACAGGAGTGAATGTACAAGAACTCTGCCGTCTCCCATGTACTTTCAAATCGCCATTTAGATTCCTGAATGAATGCGATGTCCACTCGTTCCTGCCGAAGGTACGTCTCCAATTCCTGATAGACCGAGGTGGTAAGGCCAGAGGAGTTCCAGCTCAAAACCTTCCATGCCTTCTGGGCCGGGGTCGTCTGCTTGTGTCGAGGAAGTGCAGGTGTCCTGATATCAGTTTGTTGAAACCAAGAGGATCCCCGCCACAATCCACGGTAGTATGCACCACCCGTCCTTTGGGCCCGGGCAAAAGCCCGCTTGTAGCTTCGCTTGGCATAACGCGTGGGTGCCTGTGAAGTCTGGGGTTCGCTGACCCATCGCATTCCACATGACTTCGCCGCCGAAGCGACTTCAGCTACTGGTGTGGAAACAGCAGCAACCCTCGCATCTGTACTCGCGGTCTGGACTGTGACAACACATGTATAAAGTACTAGTAGGCGCAAAAATGTGTTGTGAGCCCGCCTGCCGAGAGTACCACCGGACTTGGGACCGATGCGGCCAATGTCAATGTCGTGGCCGGAGGTCACAGAGACACCTGCAATGTGTTCTGCAAAGCATGCTGTGGATCTTTGTCGTCTGCTGAGAAGTTCTGGGTAGAAGGCTTGGACCGTGTGGTTCTCCGTCGCTTTCGTTCCAGACCTGGCCAAGGTATGCACCACTAGACTCACCAAATAGAAGAAGACCCAGCTAAGCACGGTTGCCCGCAGCAAACTGAGTAGGGATTGCACCGACAGTGGCAGAGTGGTGCTCATAGTGTACCTGGCCAGCCGCAGGGTATTCAAGCAGGAAGTGATATTCAAGCAAGAAGTAACTGGGAGTAGCAGTAGCAGTAGCAGTAGCAGTAGCAGTAGCAGGAGGGAGCAGGAGCAGCGGCAGGGGCGGTGACCGTGGCAGTGGCCGTCGCAGTCTTGAGCCCTGGATGAAAGTAGTAGTTGTCGTACTAGTAGTACTAGTAGTATTACTATTACTAGTAGTACTGTCATACTAGTAATATTAGTAGTACTATGTGTACTAGTAAAACTTGTAGTACTAGTAGTACTGAGAGTACTGTAATGACTAGTAGTACTCGTCGTCGTCGTCGTACTAGTAAGTACTGGTCTACACAAGGAAGGGGTTCTGACCTTCTGGGGCCAAGGTGGCAAGTCTAAACTATCTCGTTTACTATCTCGTTCTCTATCTCGTTATGATCCGACACTCAGAACCGAAAACTGGAAACGACTGCCATCTTGCTGTATGGAAAGGAAGGAAGAAAAAGAAAGCGACAGAAAGAGAGAGAGAGGGAGAGGGGGAGAGAAACAACGGCAAATATGTAGAGTTGTATGTATACATATACATATTTTTACACACATTTGTATCTACTAATATGCATCCGCGTAAGCAGGGACATAATTATCATTGATAGGTATTTAGTAACTATGAGTATGTCATGTACCGTATGTACTCTTTTAACCATCTCGTTTTGACTGCGGGTCCTATCTCGTTCCCCAAGTAATGCTGGCAAAACCGGTATTACCATGTCCGCCTGTGCTCTTAACACAATAAAACCAAATAACCGGCTCATATATTTCTATATATAACTATAACTATATATATATATACTATACTATACTATACTATACTATACTATACTATACCATGAGTCGACATGCAACTGATACACCACCACCCCTGCTACAGACACCCGCGCCACAGGCAGCGCCAGCAACACCATCCGTTTTGGCCTGCAGCTTTGGACACCTTCGACGCAAACTTGCCAAGTTAACGTTGGGCATGGCCCAGGGTGCCTGCCTGGAGCAGCAGAACAGAAACGTTCTGGCGGTGACGCCGTCGCTCAGCTGCAGCCGGACAGAAATCCGACCAACCGGAAGAAACAGCTGCCCGCAGGCATAAACGCAAGTGAGGCCCCTCCTCATCGAGCATCGCCGCTGCAGCCATGATGTTGACGGGTTTAGGCTTAGGGCCTTTTGTATTTTAGGGCTTTGGGGCGGGGAGAGGTTAGGGGTAAGGGTTTAGGGCGTAGGGCTTAGGAGTTTAGGGGTTTTGGGATTGCGGGGCTTAGGGTTTAGGATCTGGTTCTGTGCAAGCTTGGTTAAATCGGGACATGGAGTTGGCCGCCATCTGCACGACAAACAATGATTCAGGCCCTAAAGGTCTACAGCAAACCCGTAAACCCCATCAAGTTGGAAACCGGATTAATGCCAAATAGTGCTGGAATTCCTGATACATTGCTCTTAAGGATCGAGGCTATTGGGTTTCCAACTTTTGGGCTTCTACTGTAAACCCTAAAACCCTTCACCCTGCTAAAAGCCTACGCCTCTATGTAAACCACCCCTGCCAAACTCTGCCCCCCTCTAAACCCTAAACTCTAAATCCTAAACTCTAAACCCTAAACTCTAAACCCTAAACCCTGAACTCTAAACCCTAAAACCCCAGAACCCAGAGCCTTCCTTCAAGGATCCTGGGATTTACAGTAGTAAGGGTTCTTAAAGGGCTCTTTTCAAGGGATCCATAGGGTTTTTAAAAGGATCTATGGGGTTTAGGGTTCAGGGCTTACTTAAAGGATCATGGGACTTAGTAATTAGGGTTATAACTAAGGTAACATGTACTTATATCCACTTATAACCCCAATTAGGGTACTTATAAGCTTACTTACTAAGTCCCATGATCCTGCAAGTAGACCCTAAACCCATATAGATCCCATTATAGGAACCCTTATAGCTCCCTTCTAAAGGAACCCTAAACCCTAAAGGCTCACCTTACTTACTAAGTCCCATGATCCTCCAAGTAGACCCTAAACCCCAAACCCATAGATCCCTTCAAGGAACCCTCTAGATCCCTTTAAGGAACCCTTTAGATCCCTTTAAGGCACCCTATAGATCCCTTTAAGGAACCCTATAGGTCCCTTTAAGGAACCCTATAGGTCCCTTTAAGGAACCCTATAGACCCTATAGATCCCTTTAAGGAACCCTCCCTTTAAGGAACCCTATAGACCCCTTTAAGGAACCCTATAGATCCCTTTAAGGAACCCTCTAGGTCCCTTTAAGGAACCCTATAGACCCCTTTAAGGAACCCTATAGATCCCTTTAAGGAACCCTATAGGTCCCTTTAAGGAACCCTATAGACCCCTTTAAGGAACCCTATAGATCCCTTTAAGGAACCCTATAGGTCCCTTTAAGGAACCCTATAGACCCCTTTAAGGAACCCTATAGATCCCTTTAAGGAACCCTATAGGTCCCTTTAAGGAACCCTATAGACCCCTTTAAGGAACCCTATAGATCCCTTTAAGGAACCCTATAGGTCCCTTTAAGGAACCCTATAGACCCCTTTAAGGAACCCTATAGATCCCTTTAAGGAACCCTCCCTTTAAGGAACCCTAACCCTATAGGTCCCTTTAAGGAACCCTATAGACCCCTTTAAGGAACCCTATAGATCCCTTTAAGGGGCCCCGAGACTTCGGCCCTGGTCCTCGAAAGTGATCTGGCAGCTGCCGGCAACAAGCTCTGCCGATGTCGCGCCGTCCTGGACTCGGTTTAGGGTTTAGGGTATAGGGTTTAGGGTATAGGGTTTAGGGTTTGGGTACAGGGTTTAGGGTAAAGGGTTTAGGGTTCTGGATCAAAAGCAGAAACCAATGCGAGGAATTTCCGAAAAATGGGCGCTCTATTCGGGAGGCAGTACACTAAGGATCCTAAGACCCAGGGTTCCGTACAAGATGGAGCTCCCACATACTGCCCTGAAACTTCCCCATGTCCAATCGAAAAATTAGAGTTTCAATCGGATCCTTTTCATGTGAAGTGCCAGGGCTTCATAAGGGATGGTATAACTCTTAACCCCGATCTTAACCTTAAACCCTCAGGGTCACGCTTGAAACTCAGTGACTTAAGTGATTTGGCGTCGGCCACTTGGAGGAGCGCTGTCCCGAGTGAGTCTATCGTTGTTATCAATATCTTTCCCTGGCCCATATTCCCTGAAAAACCAAACCGTATTCCTGGAGCTGGAGACGCTCGAACAAGACCCTCACACCCGAGAACTAGGGACGATACGTTAACTCATCGTACGAAGCTCCCCCCCCACACCAACAACATGAAGGTATATTCCTTGACTGGAGGGCTCTTTGGGAATACCTGACAAGAAAAACACAATTAGGGGCCTCAATAATTAGAATAGGTAACTATTAATTAAAGCCCATATATGATAGAACCCTACTATAGATTCCTTTTCGGGCCCTGAAAGGAACCCTTTAAAGGGACCCTAAACCCTAAACCCTTGTTTTAAGAGCCCTGTAGCGCTCCTTGAGGACAGCACAGAACTCCTTGTGGTCGCCGTTCGGCCCTCGAGCAATGATGGCAAGGACCTCGGGCTTGCCCTAAGGCTCCGAAAGGGGTCATGGGCTTTCTGGGGGAGGGTTTGGGCTTTGGGGGCTAAGGTTTGGGATCTCACTACGAGGGTCCAGGAGCCTTAGGGTGGGAGGACAACCCGCTTTTACAAAGGGAAAACATTACAAAACGACCATCCTAAACAGGTAGGTTCGCCAAGGTTTAGAATTTATGACTGCTGGGGGGCGGTCACGATTCAACCATGTGGCCTGGGTTACAATAACCTGCTTCCTCTTTGCCAGTAGTAATCAGTGACAAAATACATTCAGGCTCTGGTATTGCAGTATTTGGCGGGGTCTAGGTGCGCAACTAGTAGTTCCCAATCCCTTTGTCGGCCTACCTTCTCTCAATAGACCGACCCCTGCCAGCCAGCTCTGTTTTGGAGATTCAATATGTGTTGCTCAAATCTCACAAGGTCTTGACTGGGCGCACTCCGGATGGCAATTAACAGTTTGGAGCATGTTTAGGGTCCAGGGCTTGAGTTTGGATTCTGCAGGTGGTTTCTTCCACGAGTGCTCAAGCTCATGGAACGAGAGACTTGCCAAGCCCCGCCCAACCTGGGACATCAACATCCCGAATCAAGCCGGCACTCTAAATCCCTCAAGCCCTGCACCATCATGGCCTTCACTCTACAGTCTTGAATCTTGAATTACAGTACCTTCACAGGAATAGGAACAACTTTTCGGCCGATGCCTATACTATATATGGGTACATGCCTTACTACTTATCGGGCTCAACACCCCAGAACCATCTCCGGAATCGTACTTGAGCTCTGAACCTGTCCGCTAGCGCACTCCGGAAACGCAGACGCGAACACCTGATCCAAGGACTCCCAACCCGTTAGGCTCAATGGCTTCAATTAAGGGATTTCTTTTAAGGGTTGCTTTAAATGGGGACACTTATAGATTGTAGATCCCAAACCCCCCTTATGCATCCCTTAACATAACAGAAACTCTAAGGGTTCCTTTAAGGGTTGCTTGAAGGGATCCTTCACGGGATGAAGATTCCCAAATTACTCCAGAAAAGATCCTTCTCCCAAAGGGTCCTAAGTCCTAAGCCTCTATGTGCGGAATAACAGCATAATGGTACGGTTGATGATATAAGTCCTGTATTACCTTAAGGGCACTAAACGATGGGAACTATGGCATATTACTTATTATGGGTAATGCAAGATTCATATCATCAACCGTCATTCCTAGCAAAGAAGACGGTTTAGGGTTTATATAGGACGGTTGTGATGATATGTCAGGGGTACCTAGCACAGAATAATAGGATTTATGGCTTCGGGTTCAGTAGGGTCTAGGGTTTAGGGTGCAGGGCCTAGGAACCCCCATGAAGCGAAAAACTCAGATCTGTCAGACGATCAGAACAAACTTCGCCCTAAGGGTCTATGTATCCATAGAGCTCCTTTAAGGGTTCTATAACGACCGGAAACTTGATGTTTCCACAGCACACCAAGCAGTCACCAAACGATGCTTGCTACAGGACAAGTGTTTCGTAGCTGCCGTGCAAGGGTGTAGATTCCACAGTGATCCTAGGTGTGTCTTTGTGGGTGGATTACTTTTAACTACTTTAACTTCGAAGCTAATTGTCGCCATTAAACAACACTTGCCTTCTCACAGAAGAAGATCCCTTCTTTTAAACAGAGCTTTGCAACGTCTGTCTATTGGGGAATGGTTCTGCAGGTTGGTTTCAGGCGGAGCAGTATGATGTTGAGCAGCATGTCTGACCAGGGTAAGTAGGGCCGTCCAGGCAGAAACGTCTCGACTGCTGGCATCTACTGCCCGAAAAAGGCCTCAAGGGAGACCCTTGCAAGAGTGTACAAGCCCGACATGTTCGCAAACCGATAATGGAACAGAACGTCCCAGGTTCGAACCAGGGCTCGGCGCGTGGTTGACTTTGCAGGTTAGGGCGCTTTCGGCGGCCCGGTGTGGCAGGTCACACTCGTTGACGAATTGCTACATTATCTCAAAATGGAAAAAGTCTGGCAGCACCCCACATAAACAGGCAACATCCCTCCGGTACATGGGTTACAGATAGTTTCAAACTCTATGAGCCCAGAACCCTACAAGCCCTAAAGCCAGGCCTCACGAAACACATTGCCAGGTTCCAGCTCCCAGATAGCCCAATACCCCATTGAGATACGGAGTGTACCCTAAATAATACTATTCAAGGCATATAGTCCTCCTAACAGGGGTCTAGGGCGTACGGTTCATCCCAGCACATGTGGTAGGAGGTAACGCGGTGGCCTTGTTGATTGGACCGGGGTTTTTGGATATACTGTAATGCACTGGTATACTTGGAGGATCACGGGACTTAGTAAGTAAGTTATAAGTACCTTAATTGGGGTTATAAGTAGTTATAAGTATAGTTGCAGTAATTATAACCCTAGTTACTAAGTCCCATGAGCCTTTAAGTAGGGACTATACCAGGAGAGTATTGCCAAGACTTCAGACTCCTAAGCTAACATCGCAAAACATGGCTGAAGGACACCGCGAAATCTTTCTTGGTCTGGGTGCCTCCTCCTTTCTCCAACTTGACCCCGCTAAACCCTAAACCCCCAAACTCCTAAACCCTAAACCCCTAAACCCCTAAACCCTGAACCCCTAAACCCCTAAACCAGTATCCCCTAAACCCCTAAACCCCAAAAAACTAAAATCCTAAACCCTAAACCCAAGCACTAAAGGCCCACAGCCCTAAACCAAGGTGACTTTAGGATCAGGTGGCTCAATCTTGCGCGGCTCCATGTCCAATTAGTTAGTGGGAGTTTAGGTGCCGAGCCCGATATCACCTTCGGTTTAGATTGACAGTTCTACAATTTCGGGAGACATATTTAATCATTAACACTTCTATCTATCTTAATGGATCAGTACCCCAAAACCTTACCCTAAGGCTCCTGGACCCTTGAAGTAAGGTCCCAAAACCCTAGCCCCCAAAGCCGAAGCCCTCCCCCCGGAAGGATAGAACCCTTGAAGGAGCTTCGGAGCCCTTAAAGGAACCCTTAAAGGAGCCCAACGGTTTAGGGTTTAGGGTTTGGGGAAACCATAAGATCCCTCAAAGGACCCCAAACCCCGCCAAATGCCTTTCGCCGGTCTTCCTCGAGTGCTCGATGCGACACTAAGGTCATTGCCTGTGGTTTGGAGCGCAGAGCTACTTGGAGGATCATCGGACGTAGTAAGTAAGGCTTCAAGTGTGGAGTTGTAGGTTATATGTTATAAGTACTATAGAGTTGCCGTATTTCAACCCTAGCTACCGAGTCCCAGGATCCTAAAATAGGGGGCTTAGAGTTGGATTGAGTTTCCTTGCGTTCTATTGAGTTTCTGCAGGGCTTTAACGGGTTCAGGGTTTCTGGGTTTGGAGGTCTAAGGTCCGGATAGAAATTATGGATCCTTGCTTCAGCCACTCGAAGTCCAACATCCAGCACTCCTTCTTAAATTCTGTGGGGCCGCTCTTTCTGGATTCTGAAATTATCCTAAAGAACTGCCAATACTATATTGGGGTTCGTTATTATAACTCTAGAATAATAAGCCCCCAAACCCAAGGTCTTACAAGAAAATGCCTGAATTCAGCAGTGGTGTGTCGGGTTCTCGAAAGAAAACAGTAGAGGCTTCGGGCAAGTTGAGATCTAACTGTCACGATGTCTCTTGCAGACTCTGGCTTTCATGAGCACATTGAAGGCTTCAGACGGTATTATTTCAACTGTCCGAAAACAAAGATGGGATCACAACCTACAGTTACAGGTTTGGTTTGAGGCTGCAGGTAGCAACCACCGCAACCTCACCATCTGTGGTCTGCGCTATCGTGCTGATGATAGGATTGTAGGACAGTTCTGACGATCAGCCTCTGCAAACGTATGTCACAGAGGCGACAACCCTAGAATTGCGAACACCTCCCGTATATGCCATTGAACAGGTAGCAGCTTCCACGAAAGGAGTCGGGACCATTGGATTTCGACTGCACGGCTGAGCTTCTACGACTTCAAAGTGTGGAGCACCTGGTTTAGGGGATCAGTTTTTGACGCTTAGGACGTAGGACTGGGACCGAATGTCCGCAGGGACGAGGTGACCTCGACAGCAGTGAGCTATCATGGAAGCTATAACATGGGTGGGCCGATGCAGCCTCCTTCTAACTTGATTTCAAAACGAATCGAAAAGCTTACATGCGAAACGAATCTCGAAGTAGACCATGACCCAAGCCTTTTCGTGACCCCGAAGCATATGTAAACCCTCGACCTTGAACTTTAACAGCTCACACGAGCAACATCCCTTCATTCTCCCAGCTGCCTCATCATCTGCATTGGTCAGCTTGAGGCCACTCACTACCTGTTCCCAGGAGGGAAACAAGGCCGACAACCATAACAAACAGCATGTGTAATCCTGATAAACGGAGGCGGTGAATCCCAAAGCACCCACACGGTCCTAGGTATTCATATGGGGGATACTTTCTCAAATATAGTAACTCCTACTTTTGCAACCCTCGATTCTACTATACTATACGTACGTAGGACATGGGACGCCATGGGCGAAACACCTGATACGGGGTTCGGGATAGTCTTGGAATCCCACGATAACACCCTTCAGGAACTTTTTCCGCGATCAGCAGGGCCCCATGTACAACCTGAGCTTTCAAACACCCCAAACCCCCAAGGGGGTACTAAATTAGGAATTTCCTGGGGGAAGTTTACCCCGATGCTCCGCGGTTTAAACAGAAGTTCTTGAGCAACCCAGTAGCCCTCTACCTGATCTCCCCAAAACCTTACAAGGCCCAAGAACCTTTATCTAGACAAATATATTCTAAGGTAAGCTAAGGTGTTAGAATACACTATAACATAACGAAAACCGATATAGTGTAATATAAAAGCCTAGCCTATTTAACAGGACCCTTAAACACCTCATGATTTCAAGAAGCATGCGACAAGCCTCGGCTGGGGGCGTCGACATAGCTGGGTCCTGCGAGACCATGGCGTCCCTTGGCCCTTTATGGTCCTCAATAGCCCCAAGGGTCCAGAGGACCCAATAACTAGGTACTCGGCTTTAGGATAGTAGTTATGTAGCTTAGGATTTTGGAGAGTATATGATTATTGGGTACTTAGACCCTTGGGGTAGTGGGTATGGGTACATTAGAGTGTATAGTTGCGGGTCTAAGAATGGGGGTTCCCATATACCCTGGAATAGTCCCATATTGAGGGATCTTCTGTTGGATCGTCCCGGGGGTCTGGACAGAGGAAATAACAAAAGACCTACAGTGTAGGATTGAAGGTTGAGAGCTGGGGGATTTGGGACTAAGCAAAATAGGACCTTGCGGTGTATTTATGACTTAGCACAGGGTTTAAGAGCTTAGAGCTCAGAATTTTCGAGTTAAGGAATCAGGGTGTTGTCGAGACCGGTCAGGGCTGCACAGGCTTCTATACTCAAAGTGGAAAAGGAGGGACCCTTAATGGGGAGCCCTACCCTATAATGGGGCTATATAATGGGTATATACTAGCTATATTACAGGTATATACCTAGGGGTCCTTATTAAGGGTCTCTCCTTTTACCCTTGGATATACGGGTTCCGGTGCGAGAACCCTTTGCTAAAAAGGGGTTGTAGGGTTGGGGATTAGGGCGAAGGATGGCTAGTGGTTTGCCGGGTTTAGTCTATGGTCTTGCGGCGAGCGCTAGACCTTAAGCCCATAGCGTCGTCAAGGAGGCATAAGAGGGTTTCCGAAAATACGGGACCCTAAATTTTCGGAAACTCGCACAAAGCCAGCTGCCTTCAGGATGCGTGTTGGAGCTGAGATCAGAAATCCTAAACCATGCAAGGGTTTAGGGCTTCGGGTTTACGATCAATGTAAACCCTAAGGCCCTAAACCCTGCAAATCTAGTTGTAAATGCCTACTGGGCCTATTCTATTCAGGAACCTGCCTATAGTCTCCATGCTGGTTCCTTTTTTGGTTAAGCAGTTTTATGGTAGGGATCCTATATCACAGTTTTTTGTTACCCCCAAAAAGAATTGCAATGGAGACGATAGGTGCACTTCGATGCTAGGCAAGTGGCCCCAAAACCCAATTCCTAAGGCCGCTTCCCCAAGCCCTTATAGTAGCCCTTGTAGACCCCTTTAAAGGGAACCCTATTCTAAAAATCAAGGCCCCTGACCCTAAACCCTAAACCTAGACCCTATAGGCCCTAAACCCTAAACCCCCACACTCCAGCGCCCCTAAACCCTATTCTAAGTCCTGCCGCAGCGGCTGGGGCTCTTCGTCCTGGCGACTAGACGATCGAGGCTGGTCGCGGGTTTTGGGGCCTACCTGTAGTTCCTTTTTTTGGTTAACCAGTTTTATGGTTAGGATCCTATAATAGAGATTTGGGTGAACCAAAAAAAGGAACTCCAATAGAGACTGACTATAGGTAAGTTTGGCATTTCTGGTCGAGGCTCATCGCGGGTCAGGGCTCATAGGGTGTTGAATTTAGGAGGGTGTTGGGTTCAGGGATTTGTAGTGTTTAAGGCATGTAGGGATTTGGGCTTGGATGGTTTGGGGTTGGGGGATTTATAGGGTTTAAGGTACATAGGGTTTAGGGCTCAGGGCTCATAGTGCTTTGGGTTTAGGATGGTTTTGGGCTCAGGGATTTAGAGGGTTTAAGGTATATAGGTCTGGGGTTTAAGGCTCATAGGGTTTTGGGGTTAGTTAGGATGGTTTAGGGTTCGGGGGTTTATGGGGTTTAGGGCTTAGGGCTCGCAGGGTTTTGGATTCAGCATGGTTTTGGGTCCAAGGAGTTATAAGTTTTAAGGTATATAGGGTTTGGGGCTCATAGGGTTTTTGGTTTCGGATGGTTTTGGGTTCAGTGACTTATAGGGTTTAATGTATACACAAGGTTTAGGGCTTAGGACTTGTAGGGTTTTGGGTTTAGGATAGTTTGGGGTTCAGGGATCAGGGTTTAGGGTTCTAGGGTTTAGGGTTTATCACGGTATAGGGTTTAGGGTTTTTGGGCTTAGGGTATTAGGGTTTAGGGCTTGGGGTTTGGGGTTTAACTAGGGTTCAGATCAGTGTCTGAAATACGGCTCGTAGCCTGTCGGACTTTGGCCGCTAGGGTCTCGGGTGTTGCTTTACATGGGTGGTTGCCAAAATTAGGGTCCCTTTTTGGGAGCTTATTATAAACGACACCTAATATTTAGGGTATGCAAAAAAGGGACCATATTTTTGACAAACGCCCACATGTTTTGTGTGCGTTGATCGTTGCTCGTGCTTGGCGTGCAAGGAAGGCTTTACGCTGAACGGAGTTGGGGTGTGGGTGACAATGGTTGATAGGGATCCTTAGGGGTGTAGGGGGGAGGGGTGTAGGGGACTATATTTCCTTAAATAGGCCTTTTTTGTCCTTATTATGGGCCTTAAGGCCCCCTACCCCCCCTCCCCCTACACCCCTAAGGATCCCTATGAATGGCTCAAGGTGCTACTTCAATGGTTTCGGTCCCGGTTGTTGGGGATTTAGGGTCTTGCCTTTGGGTTTCAGGTTAAGGGCTTGGACTCTAAAGAGCACCCACAGGGCGCGATGCCCCTCAATCAACGAACATACCTTAAAATGTAGAAGGCTTTATGGTAACATGTGTTAACGGTTTACACTATACATAGAGACGTATATATATATATATATATATATATATATATGCACATACTTACGTACATACATACATACATACATACATAGTTGGTCATTGCGGGGTATTGACTCTCCAAGTATTTGTCTTGTTAGCGGTTTGCTGGGCATGTTGCGGGGGAAACGGTCCAAGTACGGCTGACAATCTACCTGCAGCGGTTTAGGGTTTAGGGATCAGGGGCTTAAGTTTTCCAAAGCACCCTACAACATGTTAGCAGCTGACCCCGCAGCGATACCGAACAGCCTTCAGAATCTCAGCAGTTAGGGCTGGGGAGGCGGTTCGGAATCCCCAAAGCCGCCTCTGCAGCCGCTCCAGCGGCGCCAGTGCAACACCTTATCTCAACTTCAAGGTTCACTAATATAGGGGCCTTGATAATTAGAACGGAGTTTTGAGGCCCATTATACTATAATTGTAGTAAGGACCCCCCACACAGTATTTGCAATTATTTAGGCCACTATATGTGGTGTCCATGTAAGCCACTTGAAACCTTTGAAATAAGGGTAGCTTCGTTCGTACTAGTGATTCACTGCAAATAAGAAGAGACCCTCAAACCAAAAGTAAACGGGTTCATGGTAAGCCATAAGTCAACTCTACATAGGCTTCGGGGTTTCGGGCATAGCTTTAATGTCAGGCCCTACTGGGTTTAGGGTCAGCTGTAAAGGTGTCTTCCAGGTTCCTTGGTTCGGGCAAGACATTTTTAGAGTGAGGGAACATGTCGCTGAGTGCTTCGAGCATGCCAGTGAAATTCTGCCACCGACTGCACCAGCTGCCGGGGATATCCAACCCGTGATCGCATTCCGGAATAGGCCAAACGTAGACTAAACAGCAAGCATCTGTAACCCATCAACCGGAGAGCCTTCGCTGATTTAAATAATCATGCCGATGACACCGACTTCTGTCGTGCCATGCAACCACAGGTGCTTATTTTCACAAGGTCGTTGAGAAGCAAGTAAAGACCAGGGAAACCATCTGCTTCGACTCCCCAAACCACGGTACCGTTTTCGACTTTATGTATAGTAGCTATGGGCCCCAAAGTAGTTCCTTTTTGGGATTACTTTGTAGGACTCTATATACGAACCCCAAAAAGGAACTACTTTGGGGCCTTTGGGTAGCTATAGTAGCTCCGGTTCGGAAAGCGGTTCTTAAAATGGTTGCCCGAAGCTTTCATCGTTGGACTACACACTGATCACCACCTTCGGCGGGATGATTCGACAGGCTCCTTCTTCGACCAGCGCCGAAAACGGCGGCGTCGAGCCCTCGCTGGCTTCAGAAACAGAATCCAATTCCGAAGGTAGACTTCATCGTACAAGTGCAACATCCATCCATCTTTCTCATCGTCCCAACGGGAGATTTCGGCATCCGGAGGTGCAGGACGATGACGATCACAGACTGCCTGCAACTTGCTCCAGTACGCAATGACGCGCGGGTGGCGTTCAACCGCCACTTCAAGGTCGAACCTCGAGTCTTGCAGCTGCTCTCTCGCATCCAAAACCACCGTTTTCAGCACCTGACAAATGCAGCAAGCCTTCGTCAATCGATGTACTAAGCTACTACGTACATCATGACATATCATAAACTCAGATTTGACACCTTCTGTCAGTTTTTCAATATGAGGTATTGCATCTTCGGATTTTGGGTGGTTCAAGCCAGGCATGCCTTCACAGGTTTCAGTTCGGGCTTAGGGTCAGGGGCTTGGGGCATAGGGCTAAGGCTCAGGTTGTTTGGTTGCAACAACTTGTAACTAAACCCCACTATGGGCTATTAGGCCCTAAAGATCCCTATTAGGACCCTATTAAGGGTAGATTAAGGTACCCATAAGGTCTAATAGCCCATAGTGGCCTAGCTCTCTGGACTCCTTCAGTGAGACATTGTACAGAACAGAGCTTTCATGGACAGTACAGCTTGTCTCCTATCCACCTTGTGCATGCAGAAAGCAAGTGCTTTATTGCGCTAGCAATCAAGGTGTTAGGTGAAGCTTCCAGCCCAAACATCCAACAGGCTACACGCCCTAGCCCCGCAGGACTCTATGAGCCTTGTAGCGGAGACGTCTAATTATTTGATTCCTGTCAGTGCAGGCACTAGTGTCAGGATCCCTAGTGTATCCGTGCAAACTCCAGTACCCTATACACTCAAGCCCGAAATCCAACAACTCTGAACCAACATCCAAAAATCCCATCTCTCAGCACTCAACAAGAGAACCCCCTAAAATCACCTCTGTCACTTCGTGATCGAGGGCTGAGGAGGGGGCGTCCCCGTGATGCTCGGTCCTGCCGTACAGTGCTGTAGTGGGGTTGGGAGTGCCGGGCAC